CCGCTCCGTTTGTTCTTCTCCCCCCGGGAGCCCGTGCGCAGCCCGCGTCTTCCTCCGTCCGCTTCCCTGTGTCTCGTCTGTTTCCGCCTCTGCCTCTTTGTTTCTGCGTCTTGGCGCCTCTGCCTCCTCGCGTCCCACGCAGCATCTCTGTCTCTGCGTTTCTATGGCGTGTGTCTCTGTCTCTCCCTCCCTTTGTCTCTCTCTCTCTCCCTCTGCCTATGTTCTGTCTCTTTCTCTTGGCGCTTCTCTTGGTCTCTGATCTCGTCTCGCCAGAAGCGCCATCCCCCACCGGGGCATTGTCCCTTTTCCCCAGGACTTTCTCAGGGCTCTCCCTGGGCCCTGACTCACTCATCCCCGCCCGGCGGGTCTGGCCTGGCAGGTGGGGCACAGATTCCTGCCCTTCCAGCAGAGGAGGGGCGGGGGGCGGCCAGGTAGGGGACGGGAGGGTGTAGACTGGGACAGCTTAAGGCTCCAACACGTGCCCATTTCAGGCATCAACATTTATGAGCCAGCACCCCCTACTGGTCCCACGCAGCGGCCCCTGGAGGCTCTGGGTGAGTGCTTGGTGGCTGGACCCCAGGGGAGGAGGCGGGCCTGGGGAATGAGCACGTTCTAACCTCTTCCACCTGGCAGGGAACTTCCATGGGTGGTACATTAGGACTGAGAAGCTCCCGCACGACCTCAGGTGAGTAGTTAGGGCCTGTGTGACCGGCATTGGCTTCCCTCCTCCAGCCTTCCTTGCTGTGAGACCCGGAGAAACCTACTTTGCCTCTTTGGTCCTCAGTTTCCTGCTCTGGGTTAGTCATCAGAGAGAATGCTTATAAAATACACAGCACAGGGTCTGGCCAAGTCTGGCTTGCACATAGTAGGTGTTCAATAAATAGCAGCTATTATTGTTCCTCGTCTAAACCTCTTTCTTTGGGAGGGGGACAGTCCCCTAAGCCTCCATCTATATACATGAGACCAAGCCCTGCTTCCGCACAGCGGGCGAGATGGTGTAACTCAGGGGCTCAGAGGCACACCGGCCCCGGGCTGGGATCTCGGTTCTGTCACTCCTTTGCTGCTTGACCTTGGGCAAGTCACTTCCTTTCTTGAGCCTCGGTTTCCCCACGTGCAACACAGGGTTCTGAATGGATCCCCCTCTGAGGGGATGATGGGAACTGAGCCTATAAGGCGCTGAGTGAGTGCTCAGTGCCCATATGTGGGCACCCTGGATATGAGGGTGCTTTGATCAGGGTTTCCTGCTCTCTGGGGTCAGGCCAACCGGGGAGACGCCCGAGAATGGCAGCAGGTCCCAGAGCCCACATCCCTGTGCCCTCTCTCACAGCTGGACGGTGAAGCAGCAGTGTGTGGATCTGCTGGCCGAGGGCCTGTGGGAAGAGCTGCTTGATGACCAGCAGCCAGACATCACCGTCATGGACTGGTACGTGCTTCTGCCCCACCGGGTCACACGCAGGGGCTCCCCAAAAAGCAGGCCTCTCTCCGTGCTCCCCTCCAGTCTGAGCTTCCCACCAGGCCCCTCCTGCCCCTCTAGGTGCCAGCCCTGCCCAGCTCTCCAGCTCCTTCTCTCTGACTCTTCCAGTCTTTGAGGCGTGCGGGCCCAAGGCTGTTCCTTCTTTCTTAGATGCTTATCGCTCTCTGTGCTCAGACAAATTCCTCCTTATCCTTACCCTTATCCTTATCCACGGCTCCACCAGGAAGCCTTCCCTGTCACCCCCCAGCTGAGTCGGCTGCGTTACGCTACAGTTCCCCAGACTTTCCCCATCCTGGCCCTGCTGACCATTCTTGATTGTTGCTGCCAGATGACAAGTCTGTCTCCCCCACTGGACTGTGAATCCCGTGAGGGCAGGGCATGGGCTGTCTTGGTCACTGCTGTGTTGCCAGCACCACTCAGCCCAAGTGCACGGAGAGGGTGTCAGTGAGTGGGTCTTGAATGGCGATTGGGGTCAGAGGTTGGGGTCGCGATGTTCAGGCTATGGGGGCAGCTAAAGGCCTGGCCCCAACCCCAGGTATGAAGACAGCCGGCTGGACATGTGTGTCTATGAGCTGCACGTCTGGCTACTGGCAGCTGACCGCCGCACGGTCATTGCGCAGCACCATGTGGCCCCCCGGACCTCAAGGAGAGGTCCCCCCAGCTACTGGATCCAGGTGAGACTCCCTACCCTAGCCGCCAAGCCCAGACATGTGTTCATGTCCCAAGACTTCACAGGGGAAGAAGGGAGGAGAGCAGGGTTTGTGGGTTCCTAATAAAGACTTCTTTCTAACTCTGGGTGCTGCCACAGGTGTCCCACGTATTCCGCCGGTATGGCCCCGGAGTGCGCTTTGTCCACTTCCTGCACAAAACAAAGAACCGGATGGAGCCTGGTGGGCTGCGGCGGACAAGGGTGACTGACTCTTCTGTGTCTGTGCAGTTCAGGGAGTGACCGGCTGGCTCGGAGCCTGTTCTGACCCCTTGTTTGATCTATCCACCCCTTGACACCAAACTCAGCACCTCGCTGACCCTTAGATGTCCCTGACCCTTAGATGTTCCTGACCCTCAGCACCTCCCTGACCTTCTGGGACCACCAAGCTCTCTTGGCCCTCCCCTGATGCTCAGTACCACCCTGTTCCTTCGGGACCCCTCAGCTCCTCCTGCCACTGGGTGCCTTGATCCTGCCCGACCCTTGACTTCTCATTTGACATTGTCACCCAAGCTTGAATGTGTGACTCTTTGGCATTTCCCCTGCGCTCTCTGGGCCCAACAGGGCAGCGGCCACTTCTCCCTGAGTCAGTGCTTGACATGGGTGCTCAATAAATCCTTGTTGACTGTATAAATCAATGCGCGTGCCCCAGGATGCCGAGTATTTCCCTGATCTTTGCTCCTTGGAATTTCACTGACGTCGCATCCCACTTACACATCCTCCGGTCCTCGATCCTCCGACCCCTCTACCTTTTGCACCTCCCTGGGCCCCTGCTCTCTTCACACATTCCGCATTTATGGCCCCTTAGCATCCCCACCTTCCTCGGTGCTCATATTTCTTAACTCTCAGAATCTCCCCAAATTCCCCTCCTCCCTCCATTCCCGGGTCATCTTTCCCCCAGATCTGTCCCTATACCTTTCCCTCTCCCGAGACACTAATTTCTCTTCTCTAGCTCCTTCAGGGCTCTCGAATCCAGGTTCCCATCAAGGCCCTCATCCCTGAGGGTGGGAACAGATTGCAAATTCAAATTTGCAGAAATACACAGAATGTCCTCCATGTGTTGGGGAGGGGACGGTTGAAAGTATTTAACAACCTCTACGTCCTAGGCTCTGGCCACATCCCACAGCAGACCCTGGTTGTAGCCTGGGGTGGGTCCTTGAGGGCCTCCCTGCTGCCCCATGCAGAATCCTGAGTCTGGAGGTCCCTGGCAGGCCAGAACGGCAGGGGGACACTCAGGGAATGGCTGTCTACTGAAAAACGTGGGCAGCATATCGGTGTTTAACAATCAGCCGGGGTCCCATTGTACGCTATACACACGTCTTGTGGGTATATCTTTGTGCACACCTAAATCCATGACAGAATCTATGATGTGTCCCCATCCACAGCATTGTCCCAGCTGTGGGCTGATCCGGGCCTGACCACCCTGCTCTCTCCCCTATCCCACCCCCGTCTGTGTGGACTTGGGTCCCAAGCGCAAGCAGATGGCAGACAGGGACAAGTTCACAAGAGCTGTATTGCAGGGAAGGCAGAAAGCTCTCTCCTTTTGGGACTTAGGGCCTTCAGCAGATTCCAGGGACAAAGCCAGGTGAGGGGCATAGCATTTTGTGGAGGCTGGAGATGAGGGACCTCCAAGGCATCAGTAGCACCTGAAACAGAATCAAAACTTATCACCGGGGACTGGCAAGGGCTCAGATATCCAGGATGTGGGAGGTTCTAGAAGCCCGAGATCAGGTGCGGGGCTGGGGCTGGGCTCCGACTTCAGGAGCTAGGTGTCCTAGCCTAGGAGTTTGGGGCTGGGGGCTCCTGGAACTGTTGGGGGGAGAGGAGCCGGTGGGGTGTTTTTAGAGGGTGCTATGGCCAGTGAGCTTGAATACGTAAGTACAGACTGGGCTCAGGGGCCTCCAAAGTTGAGTTCTGGGAGCTCTAGAACCTTAACAGGGGCTCTGGAACTGGTTTCCGGAGCTAAGGCTGATATAGAGGGCCGTGGTGGCTGGAAAACACGAGGGCTAGATAGGGCGTTCCTAGAACTGGGTCTGGGGTCTCGAGGTTAGGGTCAGACTTAGAGCCGGGGAGATACCAAGTAGGTCTGGGAGCGCTGAGATTTGATGGCTTGGGGTGGGGGTGGAGGGGGGGACTGGCTCTGGTTCTGGGTCTCCAAGGCAAGGGGGCTGATGGCTCCTCCCCCCAAGCTAGGCTTGGCAACTCCAGAATTCCTAGACCCTCTCAGATGAGTACAGCTGGGGGTGGGTAGACAGGTGGGGTTCGGGAAGGTTGGAGAGGGGTGCCCCGGAATGGAGGGTTGGGGGATCGGTCCGCTTCTGAGTAAGGGAATCCTGACCTGGGTCTGAGAGAACCGAGAGGCA